CCATGCTAAAGTAATTTTTTCCAGGTCCTTTATTCCGGTAGGGGAAGACGGCGTATTCGTCCTGTCCCTCGTAGGCTACGATCCGGCTTGGCGTGCAAGGCCTCAATTTTTGTTAAAGGAAAAAAGTTTGCTTTTAAGCTTTTTTGAGTTCTTTTTACAAGGTACGTATGCCTTTTTTTGGTTGAATTAATCACTTCAGCTGTTTTTATTTTATTTTTCTCATTATACATTTTTTCAAGTTCTTTAGGCCACCGATTTAAGAGTTTTTATTTCGTTTTTAGTTTTTCGTAAGGCACGTACGCCTTTTTTGCACTACTAGTCTTTAATTTGTTTTTTTTTTAAGTTAATAAATTTTCCTCTTATAACTTATTTGTATGGTGGGTCCATTGGAATTAAATGAATTCGGTTATTGAAATAGATAGGTATCACCATATCGGAGTCAGACGAAAGAGGTTTAAGAAGTTTTTAGCTTGCAAATATTACGAAGAGGATTGCCACCTGTTTGTCAAATCGTAAAGGCAAATTTAGGTAAACTAAAATAATTATTGTGTCACACTAAAGGTTTACGACATCGTATTTGTTATTTTATTACATTTCTTTTAAATTACTGGACTCTTAAATTAACTAAGGAATATTTTTACTCGTCACTCGTCTTGCTTAATATGTCTAATTTTATCTTTTGTCTGATACACATATTACTTCCTTAATTAAAGTGAATTTGATTTTTTAAACATGTCGCAATCCTTTTACGTGCCGTTTAAAAGTAAGGAATTTTCAAAACCATTTTTATTGATACCCATATTTTAATATCTAGTTCATTTAACTTATTAAATAATTTTAATAAAATTTTTAACAGATGGCCACCTGTTAAAAAAATAAAACGTTATTGCACATCTGCAGGCCAAACACTGTCATTTGACACCTCACTTTAGAGAATAGAACGAACTATATGTACATACCCACGTAAACCCCACCCACAAGAACCCAAATTTTCAACTTGAAACTGTATTTACAGTGAAAATATGAAAGTTATCCAAAAAAAAATTGCATTTTTGAATTTAGCATCGTCAATTTTACTAGGAAGCGAAACATTTCAAATGAAAGGGAAGCACTGTGCATTGGTTAGAAAAAAAATATGTACACATGATTCATTTGATGGGAAGTGAAAAAAGGCGGATTTTCTTTATAAATTCCGTTTTAAATTTGAATTATTATTATAACAATTTAGAATTCTTGTTTGCTTCCTTTTTGGTCCACCGCGCAAATTTATTATTAAAGAAATATCGAATAAAAATAAATTTTTTTACGTTTGAATACGGTTTCAGTGAGTGTGCAATAACGCCACCGGTATATGTGCTTGAAATAAATATGTGTTGAATCAAATCGATTTTTGTTAATGCGGTTCTTGCGTAGGTATAAACAAGGTAAATGATTTTAATACGCAATGAAGAAATTAACACATAATTCAAAGCACTAGTTATTGAACTAGAATTGAATGAATGCATCCGTAACAGCAGGTTCGCAGAAATATGTTTACTGTATAATTTCTATCTACATTTAGAAATACATATGTATTTACATAAAAATATCTAATACATACTGTACTTGTTCTTTATAACAAACTATAACGTAAGTGCAAGAAAACACCGTTCTTCACGTTTTTACCCGACGTTTCGCTAAAAACCTTAGCATCTTCAGGGGTGTTTTATTCTTCTTTTTTAATTTTAAATTGTATGTCTATTTATATGTATGTTGATGTGAAAAAAAAGGAGAATAAAACACCCCTGAAGATGCTAAGGTTTTTAGCGAAACGTCGGGTAAAAACGTGAAGAACAGTGTTTTCTTGCACATAAAAGGGATCAATAAGCCTATGAAATACCTAAAATAATATACCAAAAATTGATCATCAACTAATAATCAAATTGTCTAACGTAAGTATTTATTCATATGTATATAACTATTACTAGCTATACTTATAACTATATTATTTTGCAATTATCAAATTAACTTTTCAATAAAAGCAAGAAGAAGCATGTAAACAACTGTTTTCTCACTGGCAAATTGTTACAAGCAAAAATTTATCCAGTCAAAACTTGCAACTTCCCCTCAACATTTTTCTCAATTTGCCCTTCTTTGTAAGTTTTTTGCCAGTTTTTACGTACGAAAAAGCCAAAACATGAATATTCGTAACAAGTGTTACAAGTTTTTAATGAATATTTGTAATAATGAACTATTGTAATAATTGTAATAATAGGGCAATACAGTATTTGCACATTACGTCGCTTGGATAATAGATTGTCGTATGTTACTGTAGGTACGTTTTGGGAAATCGCGACTGACCACGAACCTGACGTGATAGAGGCTAACGGACCTCGGATTCGCATTTAGCGTGTCGAATAACATAAGGATATATAGGTTTGGTTTAACATGCATACACTTTTTTATGTAAACCTGTGTTATTTTTGAGTTTATTAAGGATTTTATATAGTAAAATCTTGTGCTTTGCCACAGTTGTCAACAATTTTTAAGCCACTTTGTATGACAACATGTCATAAATTAAATAAACTTTTGTAATAAATCAAATAAACTTTTTACTCAATATGGATGAAACCATTTGAAAGACCTAAACTATTTTATTATGACTGCTAAACTTCCAATAAAATTTTAGTCAATATCTCGGAAACTAAAAAAGATATGCAAAAACTGACAACATTAACAGAAAGATCTTATTTTAAAATATAGTCTAACTGCATCCATAGCTGACAAATTTAAAAATGACCCTTACGACAATCTTTTATCCGGGCGAAAGTTAGTATTTACTACTTTAATAGGAAGTACTTATTATGACATTTTTGAATACATATATGAGACAGACATATGCATACATATATGTGTATGCACTTATACTACGTAAATATACAGTTAATGCCATTTGGTGGTCAAATTCTGATAAAAATTCGAAAGCGCAAACACTTCCAGAAAGCCGCTTATAGAGATGTTCGATTTTCAGCAACACTCATCCATCAGTAGAGATGTACATATGCGTGCACATACCTATGCAGGTAGGAGTAACTGCGTAGTTTTACTCATTCATACGTATGTATTTGCATACACAGTTATTTGCCTAAAGTGTACTTATCAGAAATTCAAACAAATTCCTCGTGATCCTTCAGCATTAATTGCAGCTCGGGCTGTCTACTGGCCGACGAAGAACTCCGATGCTGTAGGCTGGAGCCATGCACGGTTACATTGGTGGTGTGTGGTGCCGAAAGGCTGTGCTTATACTTCATCGCACTCTTCTTGCAAATGCCAAATCTGCAAGGAAACATTTTTTTCAGAATTACTAACAAAATCTAATTGCGTTGGAATTTTTGGCAAGTAAAAGTTAAGAGTAAATTATGTTAAATTGGTAGATATGTGGCTTACTTGGAAAGCAGGGCAAAGAGATCCGTTCGGTACTGTGATGTGAGTATGGCATACAAATATGGATCTGCGCAGGAGTTCAAAGGGTAGAAGAAAACCAGGAGGATTTTCGACTTAGTCACGTTTATCAATGGATAACCGGCGAGTGCTGTTAAACCAAAGAATGCAATGGGCGCCCAACAAGAGAAGTTCGTGAAGACCTGCAAAATAAAAATGAAATCTATGAAATACTTAATGTTGTAAACTACCTCACCACTAGTATGAACCGCATGCCCAACTAGTCAGCCAACTATCTTTTTTCCATGCAATCAACTGGTCACGGTGTCCTTAAACCAGATTCAACAGAGTCGGTCTAGAGCGATGGAATTTCCGATTAAACTATTTCGGGGGTTGATCCCGAGTAAGAATATGTGAAGTTCAAAATCGTGGCAAGTGCCGATTTCAAAAACGGTAACTCTTTCGATTATCAGGTGGTTTTCGATATGGTCCTAGATGGATGGGTATATATATTTACATATATTCAAGTCGATTGTATACATATTTATACATATATGTAGGTGCAGGCCCGACTATAGGGTGGGGGTGTTTCCCCCCGGTCGCGGATTACTTTTTCCTTAAATTCAGTCGGACGATAAAAATTATAAAATTTTGTTAAATTTGATTATTTAATATTCACTTAGCTTTTATAATAACCAATGAGTGCGAAGTCGCATGTCTAGATACACATGCAAGTGTGGTAAGGTCATTTCCATGCTAGTCAAAATAACCGCCAATCAATCTGGCCTATTATGAAACATAGAAAGGTTCCGAAGTCAACATGTTTTGTCTAAATATTGCGATCGTAATGATTTTCCCATGGTTCATGAAAATTTTTGAGCTCGAAATTGTACAAAGACCTTCAGAGAGACTCGAGGTTATTTACAACAATAGAAGACGAGTTTCTTGCATACAGCCCATATGAGCTTAAAGGAACGTATTTACTAAAACAATAAAAAATATTTTAAGCATTCACTTGATCCGTACAACAAATAGCAAAACAAATTCTGCCTTTAGTTGAAGTTTTTCTTAATGTTGTATTATTAAATGAAGAAAACTAACCAATAAAATAGTACCTATAAACTTAACAACTTTATATTAAACTTTATAGTATAAAATAATAAGTATTTATACTTAATTTTATTGAAACCAGATAAAAGTTGGCCGTTATAAGTGGACGAAAAGCTGGCTATTGTAGTAGACGACTACGAAATTTCCCAGAGGCTGTGCATGTATATATGTATGTACATATCGAGCTCTAACCGCCAAAATAACGTAGCNGCATGTATATATGTATGTACATATCGAGCTCTAACCGCCAAAATAACGTAGCCGAAATTTTTTTTCAACATTTTCTTTTTGATGCAGAAATGCATCTAGATGCTCTAGGAATATTTCTGCATCAAAAAAAAGTTTGAAAAAACAGCTTATTTAGTTATTTATTATTTTGGCGGTTAGGGCTCGATATTTAAAAAATTACTCATATACCGTCTTATTTATACTATACTTAAATGCGAAAATGTCGGCTGAAAATCGAAAAAGTTGTAGTTTTTGAAATAGGCACTTGCTACGATTTCAAACTTCGCATATTCTGACTTGGTAACGTCCCCCCAAATTAGTCTAATTGGAAATTCCATCGTTCCAGACTGACTCAGTTGGATTTGGTTCAAGGACACCGTGTGGTGTTTTTAACATGGGGATATCTTACGAGATAGCAATTGTCAGATTTCTGTCAGAAATATACTAGTCTCAATCTAGTTCAAAATAGACCGAAAAATACTTGTCCAATTATGGACTGAAACCACTACTTTGGGAGTCTAAAAATAAATTGAGTTCTTAAATATACAATAAAACGTTTGATTAAGTACACTTTAATATATTACACATTTTTATTTAGCAGCCTTATATATATATATATATGTATAGATTGGCGCTTACACATATGTTAGTGTTTGGCCGAGCTTCTCCTCCGATTTGTGGCGTGCGCCTTGATGTTGTTACACAAAGAGGAGGGACCTACAGTTTTACGCCGACTCCGAACGGCGATTGTATTTTTATGAGAAGCTGTTTTTCAAGGCAGAAATACACTCGGAGGTTTGCCATTGCCTGCCGAGGGACGACCGCTGTTAAGAAAAAACCTTTTATCTATATTTTTGCGATGTTGCTTTGACCAGGGTTTGAACCCAGGTGCTGCGGAGTGGAAGCTCGCACTGCTTACCACTACACCACAGCAGCCTTAGATTTGCCAATAATTAGTGTTAAATTTTTTGAGTATTAATTAAAAGGGAAAATAAATACATAAATATTAATGTCAAATATTCAGTCCAACAAGCATACATGCATATGTTTCGAAAGATAAATTTACATGTTGTTGCCACACATTTTATTTTACAAAGCGCTATATACTTAACACTCCCTCTCGCCTTTTTAAAAATAAAATAAATTAATGATATACAGAAATTCAACAAAATTTTAATAACTCAGTGAGAGGGGAGACCAGTATGTTTGCATGTATGTATATAAAAAAATATTTATTGGACCAAAAAGTAGTGGGTAGGCACTGTGGCCAATGGTAATCAACTATTACCACCTCCGCATGGTTGTAAGCCATGCAGAGTCCGCAGAATGCTCCGGAAGCAGTGTCCGGAGGATGCATCCGACTAGGCAGAGCATACTTTGAACTGCCATCAAATTATAACTTAAGAAAGTTTTATTACATGGCAGTTGAGAAGTGCATGTACATAAATTTCATTAATTTAATGAAGGAAATTTTTGCACATGCAGCAGTACATAGCATGCATTTAGGCGCCTGGTGTTAGCAGTCGCGTCTAAACAAAATTATTAACTTTAGTCTTTGCTAATGCCTTAGTTAAAATGTCAGCCAGCTGTTTTTCAGTTTCTACGTAACGTACATCAATAGAAACCTCATTCTGCATGTCACATGTATAGAAATACTGAGTGTCAATATGCTTTGTACGCTTTGAAGACTCCGGATGCTTAACCAATGTTATGGCTCGTTGATTGTTGCAATTTACAGGAGTGGAAGTTTTGCATTCGCTATTTAAGTCTGCGATCAGCTTCCTCAGCCAGGCTATTGCCTTTGTAGCAGCGCACAGAGCAAAAAAATCAGCTTCTGTTGTTGAAGTTGCAGTTACAGTTTGTTTGCTCGAGCTCCACAAAATCGGACTGTGTTGAGAATGACAATCCATCCTGTCGTACTACGCCTATTTTCGGTATCTCCTGCCCAGTCGGAGTCACAATACATTTCTAGTTGCGTACATTCAGAACCAATATCGTATGATATACCCTGTCGCACGTTCCTTGTAGATACCTAAAAATTTGTTTAATACCTTGCCAATGATTCTCAACAGTTGAGTTCTCAAGAAATCTACTTAGTACAACCATAATGACTGCGATATAGTGTCGAGTACACACCATTAAATACATTAATGATCCAACAGCTTCACGATGCGAGTACTTCCCTTCATTTGCGGTGTTTAGTTGCTTTGAATAATGTATACCTGTTTCTGCTGGCGTCTGTGCAGCGCGACAATTGTCATGATTAAATTTTTCTAAAATTTGTTTGTGCAAACCCGTTGAAATACTTTATGCTTCTTATCATTCTTCATTATCTGCATTCCAACGAAAAATTCTGCTGGTCTGTAAGTGATTTCAAACTCATCATCACCACGCATAGCTACCTCTAAGTTAATTGGTTCCAAAGCGACACACAATTCTGCATCAATCGAGATATTATTGCCCCAGGCTGCTGCTTAGCTGCCCTTCTAGTACTGTATGGGTTTCGATAATACATAGGCATCCTCGGATTTTTTCGCATTGCTTCGACATCACTTCCCGCATCACTACCACTTTTATTTTTTTCTACAGCAATGTCCACCATTTCATTACACTCATTTTGCTTTTGCTCCGTTATGTAATTCCAACTCTCTTTTTTCTGTTCGCCATGTCATATATGCGATAAGCTTTGCTGTCATCATTGTATCCAACCATTATACATTTGATCGAATTCCGCTCCCACTTCGTTCGCTGTTCTTTCGGTACATGTACGAAAGCTTGGCAGCCAAATACTTTTAAGTGAGCTACTGTGGGCTTGATGCCAAACCATTTTTCGTAGGGGGTGCAGCCACCAATAACGTCAGATGCAATGTGATTTCTTAAAAACACCGCGGTATGTGTGGCTTCTGCCCATAAATAGGTTGGTAAGTTCCTTTCGTGCAGCATTGCTTTAGCATGTTCTACCACAGTACGATTTTGTCGTTCAATGAAACCATTTTGTTCCGGTGCCCTTGGAGTAGTCACCTCATGCTTCACACACTGTATCAACAAGAAATTGTCTACTTCCGCATTGCAGAACTCTAGACCCCCATCTGTTCTCAACCGTTTAACCTTGTGGCCATCTGCTTGAACATCTGCAAAGAACGTCATTCGCTTTGATAAAACATCAGTTTTATTTTTAAGGAATTATTTTCGGAAAGCTCTTACGATGATGATTGCCATATGCACACCCCTCGCAGAAAGGTATTTCTGTTAAGAGCCCGGATATTTGCAATCCGTCTGCCGTTGTCTTGCACATCATTTCTTTTAATGTGTTGAAGTTGATATGTCCCATACGCTGATGCCAAAGCATTATTGATACTCTGTATTTAAAGTTGCGTCCAAGACTGGAACCATGTTCATCGTATATAAACGATTTCCACGCACGCCGTCAACTATGACTCGATCAGCTCTCATTAGGCAAACGCGCTTTGCACCCTCTTCGAACACGACTCTCATACCTTTCTCGGTTATTCTGCTAACAGACAAAAAAGTCCTATCAAGTTCATGCACCAATAGCACATCTTTAATTGTATGAATAAACTTTTCCTGATTCATTGCATACACTTCAATATCTCCGATACCGCAAACATCCACCCTTCGACCGTCACCAACTTTTACCTGGCATGCACTAGCAAAATATGTTTTTAATTTACTTTGTGTGCTATTCCTTTGCAAGAAAAACAAGTATGTATTTTCAGCATTCTTTTGTTTGGAGCTATTTGAACCGCTAGATTTCAAACCAGTTTCTCTCTTTAGAGCAAGTGAGCTTCTCATTAGATTTGCTATTTTGACTATCGTGTTGCTTTTTAAAGCATTCTCGTGCCCA